CCTGGAGGCCCAGTTAGGTGCCTACTTTTCCAGCCTTTCCAACCTTGTTGTTAGCATCTAATTCTCTAGCGTTAATTAAGAAGTTCATGGGAAATAATGAGCTAACAGGTAAGCATATGTGGTGTAATACATTTTTGAAATCCATGCATAGTTTTTTCATAATAAGCATTTGCCATGGACTTTTTTAAATGCCTTCATAGGAAAGCCCTTTCTTCTTCACCTACTAAAGTGATTTCCAGCATCCAGCATCCCTGTTTGCTGCACATGAGCTATCCACTGCAGGGACAATGTAACTTAGGCTGCTCATCCACCCCCAGAGTGGCCAGTCAGTGAAGGCCAAGAAGCAGCATCGGCCATAGGGAACATACAGCTTCAGGACAAATTGACAAGTGGCCACGCTGAGCACAGTCTCCCCATGGTTGATAGCCATTATTAAAAACACCCAGAGGGGCCTGGTGCAGTAGTCTAGCAGCCAAAATCCTTGCCTAGCATGCACCAGGATCCCATATGGGTGCCAGTTCTACTCCCAGCAGCTCCACTTCCCATCCAGCTCCCTGCTTGTGGCCTGGGAAAGCAGTTGAGGGCAGTCCAAAGCCTTGGGATCCTGCACCCATGTAGGAGACCCAGAAGAAGCTCCTGGCTCCTGGCTCCTGGCTGTGGATTAGCTCAGCTGTGGCCACTGTGGCTTCTTAGGGAGTGAACCAGTGGACAAAAAAAATTTTCTCTCTGTCTCTCTTTATCTCTGTATATCTGACTTTCCAATAAAAATAAATAAATCTTCCAAAAAAAACAAAACCCACCCAGAGATGAAATTTCACACTCTTTTTGTAGCAAAGAACAGTTCATGAGTTGGGCAGCTCTCAGAACCAGAAGAGGCTGAAACAGTTCTGCTTTGCAGACAGGGAGTATTCATAGACAGAACAGGAAGTCAAGTACAAAGGGCCGGACTGGCTGTAGTGAGGCAGCAAAGGCCTTAACTGGACATGGTCAGATCAGCTGGTTGCCTGCCATTAACTGAAGCTGAGCCTGGGCTGTTTGTTACGCTCATGTTAGGTTTCAGGTTAATATGTAGGGACTCACAGGACACATTCACAGCACAGAGTTGGCCTCACCCGCTATGTAGCTCACTGTAATCCAGACTCTGTACTTAGAGGCATCTCCAGGTGTCATTTTGGAACCTAGCTATCCTTCCAGAGCTGCAGCAAACACTAAGCGTCTGGAGTCTGACGACTGTAGCACCTGGGGAGGATTTTCTAGAGTTGAATGTGTCAGGAGAAGCAAAGACCTTCCTGAGTCACTCCAAATGGCCGACATCCCTCTACACCGCCAGCTCTCCCCCTCACCCTACCCCCTTCTTGGACAAACACACCCTGTGACCTTGAAGGTTGCTCATCCTGCAGTCACTCCGTAATCAGGGTGGGGAGGGAGGGAGCGAGGATGAGGTGGGAGCAGTTGTTGTTACCCACTCCTCTCACACTTCACATGACACAGGGCAGATCATGTCAGCCGCCATAAAGGCAAGCCCGGCCGAAGCTCCTGGGTGGGTCCCCACAAAATGACAGCATCAAGGGCTTGCTTCAGCACATTTTTTTCTCCTGCTGTCTACAAACTCTGGCTCAGCTACAGAGGGCTCAGCTGGAATGCCCAGGGTGTGACATTCATGTGTTTGGATGGCAAACTCAGAGGGAACATGAGTAAGACTGAGCAAGCATCACCTACAGCAGCAGCATGGGGCCTCTGATCCTTGCCCAGCTCATTTTCCCATTCCCGGAAGGCCTGTGGGGAGCACCTGCCAGGATGAAAGGGTCTCAGCTCAAGGAGCTAGCAGGGAGGAAAGGATGAGTGAGAGATTAAGCACAGGGCTTAGCTGAGTGGCAGGGGGAGACAAAGAAATAACAAATCGCTACAAGAAAAACAAAACAAAAATCACCTAGGTTTCTTGCTGGTCTACCTGAAAATGAGCACGCATCCCTTCTGAGTAGGACATTCCTTCCTAACGGACTTAGGAGGGAGCTCGTCCGTGATCCGGGCAGGACTGAACGCTCTGGAGCAAGTGTCTCGAGCTACCCTTCTCAGACAAAATGCACAGCCCTGTTGCTGTGGGGAAAGGGTAGCTGGGCTATGGGGACCCCCTAAGTCACTCCACAACCATGGTTTAGTTTAACATGCTGAGCTTCTTGAATGACTTTACTTTAAAAAGGAATATATTAACTTTCAAAAACTATGACAGGGCTGGCATTGTGGAATATCAGGTAAAGCACTGCCTGCAAACCCAGCATACTACATGGGTGCCAGTTCTAGTCCTAGGTATTCCACTTCTGATCCTGCTCCCTGCTAATTTCCTGGAAAAAGCACAAGATTACCCAGGTGTCATCCCCTGCCGCCCACATGGGAGAACAGGCTTTGGGCAATCTTTTGCTGCTTTCCCAGGCCACAAGCAGGGAGCTGGATGGGAAGAGGAGCAGCTGGGACAAAAACTGGCGCCTATATGGTATTCTGGCACATCCAAGGCAAAGATTTAGCAATCAAGCCACTGTGCTAAGAACAAGATTGTTTGTTTGTTTGTTTGTTTGAAAGGTGGAGTTACAACAGAAGAGAGAGAAGGAGAAGGACAGAGAGAGAGAGATCTTCCATCCACTGGTTCATTCACCAATGGCCACAGTCGATGGAACTGGGTTGACCCAAAGCCAGAAGCTTCTTCCAGGTCTCCCATATGAGTGACCAACACGGTGACCCCAATGGGTGACCAAAAGGGCCCAAGCACTTGGGCCATCCTTTGCTATTTTCCCAGGCCATAAGCAGGGAGCTGAATAAGAAATGAAGCAGCCAGTACTCAAACCAATGCCTATATGGGATGCTGGTGCTACAGGCAGAGGATTATCCTACTATGCCATAATGCCAGTCCCAATAAATAAGTCTGTTTTTAAAAACTAAATTTAAAAGCTAACAACTGGAAAGCCATAGAAATGCTTCCCAGACTCCTGATTCTCAGCCTTATATTTTTCCTTCCTCCCAACTTCATAAGGTTATTTCAAAGTTTCAACAGGGTTGTGAGAGAAAGCGCACAGTCTGCCTGCAGCCCATTATTACTTAAAGATCTCCTGGAAAATATTCTAGCTAAAGAGAAAGTCCAGAGGGATAGGTGATGGCACAGCAGCTAATACAGTTTGGGATGTTGACATCCATTTTGTTTGTACTTGTTAATACAAACCCTGTGAGGCAGAAGGCAATGGCTCAGTACTTGGGTCCCTGCCACTTATGTGGACAACCCAAATGGATACAAACGTCCTGACTTCAGCTTGACCCCATACACCCTTTGCAGGAGCTTGGGGTATGAACTAGATGGAAGAACTCTGCCTGTCCATCTCTCTCTCTGCCTTTCAATTGATAAAAATAAAATTTTAAGATGAAAGACAGGAATGAAGTAAATAAATTTTGGACCAGTGGTAGTCTCCTGGAATCAGAAGGGATAGTCTCTATCTTGTATCCCAGAAAGAGGGGCCACCTGTGTGGGAGTCCCAGAAGAAGTTCCTGGCTCCTGGCTTTGGATTGGCTCAGCTTTGGTGGTTGCGGCCACTTAGGGAGTGAACCAGCAGATCTTTCTATCCCTCCTTCTCTCTGTGTATCTGCCTTTCCAATAAAAATAAATAAATCTTTTAAAAAAATAAAATAAAATAAGGTGATGAGGACTGGCTCAAATGTAATGCCTTGCCAACTTACACGGACTGGAGTACTGCCTGACATGGGGTGGACATGCACCTGTGCAAAGGGTCCGTCTAGAGTAGCCTCAGAGCCAACCGAGTCAGGATTCTGGGGGCAAGCTCACCTCTTTACATTACCATTCCCCGCAAAAAGCAAAATGGAAATAATGAAAAGTTCTCTTCACTTCTACCTAGACATGTGGTTAGAGTGTGCATATAGTGATGTCTGGGAAGCATGCTTGAAGGGCAGAGGAAAAGTTCAGAACAGCACTCAGTGTGCCCAGCCAGTGGGGTCACCAACAGACCCTCTTGAGACTCTGCAAAGTGATGGACTCCGATCATGAAAACACAACTGCACATGTTAACAACCAAATGCTTCAGAGAGTTTTCAGGGATGCCTGCAAACCTGAAGTTCATCATGGGTCCCACGATGCCCAGGTAAGGCGACAATGCCCCAGGCCCAGCACGATGGCCTAGTGGCAAAGCTCTCACCTTGCATGCACCAGGATTCCGTACGGGTGCTGCTTCTAATTCAGACTACTCCACTTCTGATCTACTCCCTGTTTGTGACCTAAGAAAAGCAGTCGAGGATGGCCCAAAGCCTTGGGACCCTGCACTCGCGTAGGGGATCCGAAGGAGGCTTCTGGCTCCTGGCTTCAGATCAGTTTAGCTCCAGACATTGTAACCATTTGGGGATTGAACTAGTGGACAGAAGATCTTTCTCTTTGTCATGCCTTCTCTCTGTAAATCTTTTGCAACAATAATAATAATTAAAAAAAAACTTAGAAGAAGATGATGATAATAATGACAATGACCCAGGGAAATAGAAATCCTTTACTTATTTGTGTATGTGTGCCAAATTATATGACAGAGCCTTGGGCTGAATGATCAGAAGAATCCACAGTCTTTTCTATTGCTAAGCAATAAAATGAGGTGGCTGAGAACACACACCTGAAGGTCAAGCAAGCTGGAGTACAAATTCCAGTCTGCCACAGCTGAATGATTTGGGGTGACATAAGGATCTAAGCCAAAGTGGCCATTCACCAAGCTGTTGTGCAGAGCAGGGACAGGGAGCTTTACAACACTTCCCAAGTAACCTGTTCCAAGTAGTGTGTCTCAATGAGAGCAACTATGACACCAGAGGTGCTCTTGGCAGACTGGACAGAAGCAGTCACCCGGCTGAGTAGGTGCACCTGCAGGCTGCCAACACGAAGGTAACTCAGGGATGCTCTGGGTAGGACCAGCCAGGCCCCACCTGTGTATCCAGGGACAATCTTCCAATAATGAGGGGACCCCTGAGCCCTCTCAGCTTCGCATGATGACGCCTGGCTTCCCTGGTGATTTTCCCAGTGGAGAGAGAAAAGATCCTCTCAGGACCTCACAGGGCCTTGTGGTGGCCTCTCTGTTCCTTGAAAGGGCAAAACAGATGTTGGGAGGAAAATGTGGGGCCATCTATCCTTGGCTTACAGATGGCCCTCTTCTCCCAGTGTCTTCAGTGGGCTCCTTCCATGCATGCCTGCATCCTAATCTCCTCCATCTTTAGGACACCAGTCATGTGGAGTCCTACAGATGGGATTTCAGCCTACCCCAATGACCTCATTTTACTTCCATTATTTCTTCTGTCTTCTGTCTTTCATTACTTCTACTGTCTTCTGAAGAACTAGGGTTTAATGTTTTCAACATACAAATTTGGGGGATATACAACTTAGCCAAAACACCAGTAGGAGCATGCTAAACAAATGAGGGCACATCCATTCATACTGGGAACACCAGGTGCTTATTTTTAAAAATAAGGCAGTTGGAACCAGCATTGTGGCATCGCAAGTTGGGCTGTCACCTGTAATCCCTGTAACACCAGCATCCCATACGAGTGCTTGTTCAAGTCTCAGCTGCCCCAGTTCCAATCCTAGCTTCCTGCTAATGGTCTGAGAAAGCAATGGAAGATGGCCTAAGTGCTTGGGCCCTTGCCACCCACGTGGGAGACTCTAACAAATCTCCTGGTTGCCTGGCTCTAGTCTGGCCCAGCTCTGACTACTACAGCTATCTGGGGAGTGAACCAAGGGATGCAAGACACTCTCTATGTGTCTCTCAGTGTACTTTTCAAATTAAAAAAAAATCTATCTTAAAAAAAGGAGGGCAATATCATAAAGCCTAAAACAGTAAGTGCTGGAATTACCTGCAAGGTATATACTAAGGAAGAGCAGCTTTAAGTATAGAATGACGTGCACGGTGTGTTGTCAGTAGTGCAAAGGATAAGAGAAAGTGTTGCTGGGTGTGCAGATTACCATGGAAATTAGGACAGGGAAAGACAGTTTGATCCCAAAAGAAGTTCCTGTGGGCTGCGATGCAGGAGAGAGAGGGGGACTACCTTCTCACTATAAACTCTCACAGAAGCAGTTGATGTTGTACCATAGGTTTATCTTTGTGTGAAATATTAAAGATTAATTTAAAACGACCTAAGAGTTTAGGTTTTCAAGGAGTGAAAAAACACATTTAAACAACATGACAAAAAATAAAACCCACATTTGGGTGTGTTCTGGAATATTAAAGTGCTTTTTCTTTGTCCTCGAAGTTTCTCCCTTGTGTTTCTTCACAAATCCACATCTCCTTGGCCAGCTCACCTGGATCCCCATTTCTGTAACTTCCTCTTGATCTCTGGTGCTCACTCTTTCCATCTCACTCCATCTCAGACACACACACACACACACACACACACACACACACACACACACACACACACACACACAGTTAAAGAGGTAGAATTTTCCAGAACTCTGGAGTGCTTTGAGTGGCAGTATCTTGGGAGGGTTCCCCCATGCATGCTGTCAGGCTATTTCCCACTGCCAAGATGAAGGCAGAGGAGAGACATCAGAAAAAGAGAAAGCATCACTCCAAATAGAATGGAGATGGCAGCACTGCAAAGTAAATAGCCAAAAATTTCACAAGTGTCATTCACCACTCACAAAGACTGTTTTTAGACAACATAATAATCCACTACAACATTTATTCTGTCTGCAGGATTATTACAGCACAATTTTACCTTTCCATCTCCTGTGGCATAGTGTGACTTCTTGAGTAGTCATTCTTTGTCTTTCCCAAGTTTTGGGGTCAGACTAGTCTAAATGATGACTTGGGGAGGTGAGGGAGGGGAATGGTGACAGCCAGAAAAATCACAAGAGGCCTCTCATGCCTTCAGTGCTCTCGCACCATCCCACATTACTGCTTGTTTGTACTCCTACCAGCCTCTTCCTGGGCACCACCCAGATGATTCATGACAACTGACTTCAGGACCGAGGTCCTCTGTGCCCCTGCCCCACCTTCTTGCTCTAATTCTTTCAGAAAGCCTTGCTTGGACCACAGCAACCTAAGTTACTCTTCCTCTTTAAGGAAAAAAAAAAAAAAAAAGCTTCTTAAAATGCTTATGTATTCAAAGGGCAGAGTCACAGAGAAAGATAAAGAAACAGCAAGAAAGAGAGAGAAAGAGCTCTTGCATCCACTGGTTCACTTTCCAGATGCTTCCAACAACCTTTGCTGGGCAAGTGGAAAACAGGAGCCTAAAACTCCATCCCGTTACCTTAGCCCATACCTTAGCCCATGTCTCCCACATGGGTGGCTGAGACCCACGTACTTGAGCCAGCATCTATGTCTTGCAGAGTGTGCCTCGGCAGGAAGTCCAATCAAAAGCAGAGCCAGGACTTGGATCCAGGTACTTTGATACAGGATGTGGGCATCTCACACAGCAAAATTACCTTGCTGTGCCACAATGCTGTGCCACTCCCTTTTTAAAATTGCTTTGGAATTTATAGATATTATTGCAGTTCAATTCAGGAACTATTCCTCAGACCCCTTATATAGGCTCTGTTTTGGGGAGTAGAAAGAATAGAAGGGAGAAGGGTCAAGATTAACTAAAAAGTAAGGAAGGAGACAGGGACATCTTCAGAGTCATAGCACAGCCAGTCCTCCAGGGACCTGAAACTTCTGGATATGGTGGATTTGAGGTGCCCTAAGAGGCGTCAGCAACAACAGGTCTCCAGTGTTGGCCTCCCTCTTCTACTCCAGAGCCGGCCTTCCGGCTCATTCAACGACTCCCACACCAGGGCCCCGGAATGGCCATTAGTGTCCTTTCACCTTTCTCCTCGCCTACCAACTGACAACTTCTACTAGTGCTTTGGACTTCCAAAGCAAGAACCTTTGGACTTCCTAGTAAGAATCTTTGTTTGACCCAGGGAAACTCTGGGGATAGACCACAGTGGTTACTGTCTGCCAAATGTTTGGCTGAGCTTAAAACAAATGGTCAACCACAACCTATCAGAATCTTAGAAATGTTTTCTGCTCTCTCCCTTTTTGCGACACCATGAGTTCACCCAGTGCCCTCATGCAAGTCAGAAAGGAGCCCACACTGTGGGTGTTTGGCTAACTTTAGGTAAGCTTTGCTTCAAGTGCCCTTCCTTTGGGCTAAGCGCAAATACAGAGCCCTAAATAGGACTGGGCTGGATGCATTTCTAGTCACTGCCTTAGCCTGGGCTTCTGTGCAGTGTACAAACTGTTCAACCTCAAAAAGCAACCCTTACCATCATATACAAAGTCTCTACTACAAGATTCCAAACAAAGCCCAAAAGAAGTATTCACAGATGACTATCCAGTTGTCTTTTGATTTAAAAATTTGTAATACTACTTTAGAGGTAAAGTCAGACAGATGGATGAACAGAGAAGGATCTCATCTGCTGATCTATTTTCCCAAATGCCCACAACGACTAGAAATTAGCCAGGCCAAGTCCAGGAGCCAGGAACTCAGTCCAGGGTTATCATGTGGATGGTGGGAATCCAGCTACGAGAACCATCACCTGTTGCCTCCCAGGATGTACGTTAGTAGGAAATGGGAATAAGGAGTGGAGCCATGATTCAAACACAGGCAGCATGGCTTTGTTTCCTGATTCTGCCTTCCTGCTAATGCAGAGCCTAGGACCAGAAGGTGATACTCGACAACTGGATCTGGATTTCATGCTAACTTTTGGGTTGAGTCATTGCCCAGGCCTGAGGTGCTTGAGGAATGAGCCAGTATATGGAAAAGTGCTCTCCCTCATTCTGTCTCTCTCCCTCTCTTATTCTTTCTACTTCTCAAATAAAAATTAGAGCTCCACATCCTTGTCCCAAATTCTGATGGAGACAAACATGGAATCTTCTCTCTAAACAAATGGCAGCAGAGACACCAGCACCTTCATTTCCCAAGGTTGTAGTGTGTCTGGCTCCTGGCCCTACGCCAAGCCCAGTTCTCATCACTTTCAAGCTTTGTTTTTTCAAAACAGTGTCCTTCATGTCTTTTATCTCTGTCTTATGGGCAATGTCTTTTTGAAAAATTGATTTACATTCTTACTGAGCCTAAGTGAAGCCTTCTTTTGAGATCCAGCAGTCATCTTCTCTGAAGGGATTTATTCATGCTGGATATCGACCTGCAGTGTGCACATTATAATCCTTCCGGCAAAGCCCATGCTTCCACAAATCCTCCACCGTATTTAAAATTATGATGTAAATAATTACAGGTTTCATCTCACGGATATAATTAATGATAAATTTCTGGTATAAATTAAACTCTCCTACTTGACGTGCTTTTGACTGAAAAAAAAAAAGATTAGAGTTGACCTTCAAAGAAGATAGAACATTGAAATCTACACACTTCGAACTCAGCAAGATTTTTTAAAAGGAGGGCTATGCTTGCTGTATTAAACTAGCATGGGAGATACCTGGACCTCAGTTAATTTCATTAGATTGTCATCCTCATACTTTGTACAAATAAAAAGAAACTCATCCACAGTCCAGCCAGCTATCAAAATAAATTAGTTTCATTTTGTGATCCTTTCTAATCTTTGTCTACTATATACAGAATATCTTTAGTAACAGATCTTAGCTAATTTCACTAGGTTTCAAATCCTTTGCAATGAGACCGAAGTCAGCTAACATGCATAGAGCATGTAATACTTAAAAATCTCAGCAATGGTGAAGGGCTCCCAGGCAAGTTATTAATAAGCCCTGAAGAGTGTGTTACCTGTTCCACAGGTACACTGGAGATAAAAGCAAGACAGAACACAGCCAAAACTGACAGTGGGAAAGAGTGCCAGCTCCAGGAGTTGGGTGCCATGGGATCTGACTGTCCATCAATTGCTAAGGCTCTGACCTCTGGGTCTGCCTCTGGGTGCCTCAGCTGCCTCTCTGTAATATTAAAGGATTGAGCCTGATCAATAGTCACTCTTCCTCAAAGGGCTGCTAGACGATCCTGGAGCAGGAAGAATGGTACCAAGGGACTCATCTCGGTCTACATCCCTGCCATCAAAGAAGTTCCTTGCTGCTCTCTTTTTTACTTAGTGCACTGAGCAACAGGAAATGTCACTTGTGTTTTAAAAGACTCTTTCAGAGACATGTAACAGCCTGAT